CCCCAGTGATATGAAGATAGTCTCCTGTATTATTCTCTCACGGTTTCATTATTTTGACTTTCACATATTCATCATTTACAATCCATGATAAAAATGCTTCAGTGAGCATATATTAAACACTTCTGAAAGAAAGGAATAAATAAAAAGCCTCAGCAAAGAAATATAAAATATAAAATATAAAAAAAGAACCAAATGGAGATTCTAGAACTCAAAAACACAGTTAACTGAAATAAAAAAAACTGAGTGAATCCGACTCAATGGCAGAATGAAAGAGGCAGAAAAAAGAATTAGTGAATAGGAAGACAGAACCATAGAAGGTACCCACAATGAACAACAGAGGGAAAACTGACTAAAAACAAAACCCAGCAGAGTCTCAGTGACTTGTGGGCTGACATTTCATGTCATGGGAATTACAGAAAGACAGGATTAAAAAGGCAGGGCTGTCCCTGATTTCAAGCTATACCACAAAGCTGTAGTAATCAAACTAATATGGTACTGGCATAAAAACAGACACATAGGTCAATAGAACAGAACAGAGAGCCCAGAAATAAACCCACGCAAAATGTGGTCAGTTGACTTACAACAAAGGAGCCAAGAATAAACAGTTGGGTAAAGCACAGTTTCTGCAATACTGTGTTGGGAAAACTGGACCACTGTCTTACACCTTACACAAAAACTAACTCCAAATGGATTCAGACTTGAGTGTAAGACCAGAAACCACAAAGCTCCTAGAAGAAAACACAGACAGAGAGCTGCTTGACATGAGTCTTGGCAATGATTTTTTTTTGATCTGACACCAAAAGCAAAAGCAATAAAAGCAAAAATAAACAAGTGGGACTACATCAAACTGAAAAGCTTCGGGGAAACAGAGGAAACTGTCAACAAAATGAAAAGGAACCTGCTGAATGGGAGAAAATATTTGCAAATCATATATCTGATAAGGGGTTAATATCCAAAATATATAAAGAACTCTTACAAGTCAATAGAAAAACAAACCAACAGTATGACTAAAAAATTAGCCAGAAGATCTGAAAGAACATTTCTCCAAAGAAGACATTCAGATGACCAACAGGTACATGAAAAGATGCTTAAGATCACTAATCATCAGGGAAATGCAAGTCAAAACCACAATGAGATATCACCTCATGCCTATTAGAATAGCTATTATCAAAAAGACAAGAAATAAAAGTATTGATGAGGATACAGAGAAAAAGGCCCACTTGTGCACAGTTGGTGGGAGTATAAATTGGTGCGGCCACTGTGGAATACAGTGTGGAGCTTCCTCAAAAAATTAAAAATAGAACTACTATATGATTCAGCAATTCCATATTTAGATATTTATCTGAAGAAAACAAAAGCACTATCTTAAAAAGATAGATGCACCCCGCCATGTTCATTGAAGTACTATTTAAAATAGCCAAGACATGGAAACAACTTAAATGTCCATCAGTGGATGAATGGGTAAAGAAAATGTGGCATATATATACAATGGAATATTACTCGGCCATAAAAAGAAGGAAATCTTACCATTTGTGACAACACGGAACCACCTTGAGAGCATTATTATGCTAAGTAAAGTAAGTCAGATAGAGAAAGACAAAGACCATATGATCTTACTGACGTATGGAATATATATTTTAAAAGTTCATAGATACAGAGAACAGATTGGTAATTGCCAGAGGCAGGGAGTAGAAGGTAGGTAGAATGGGTGAAGAGGTCTCAAAAGATACAAACTTCCAGTTATATACAATAAATAAGTCATGGGGATGTAATGTAAAGTGTGGTGACTATAGTTAATAATATTGTATTGCATATTTAAAGTTGCTAAGAGAGTAAGTCTTAAGTTCTCATCACACACACAAAATTTATAACTATGGTGACAGATGTTAACTAGACCTACTGAAGTGAATAAATATGTGTATTTATTGTATTGTATATATAGTATCTCTCTCTATAGCTAGCTAGCTAGCTAGCTAGCTAGCTATCTAAAGCAACCTAGGTCTCTGCCATGTCTTGGCAATTGTAAACAATACAGATGTGAACATTGGGGTGCATGTATCTTTTCAAATTAGCATTTTTGTTTTTTTGGGTATATACCCAACAATGGAATTGCTGGGGAGGGGGTCATATGTTAGTTCTATTATAGATTTTTGAGAAACCTCTGTGTTTCCCACAGTGGTTGCACCAATTTGCATTTCTACCAGCAGTGTGGGAGGGGTCCCTTTTTTTCACATCCTTACCAACATTTGTTATTTGTGCACATTTTGATGACAGCCATCCTGACAGGTGTGAGGTGACATCTCATTGTGGTTTTGATTTGCGTTTCCCTGATGAGCAGCCTCGCTCTTAATTGCCAAAAATTGGCAACAATCCACATGTCCATCAGCAAGAGAATAAGTATACAAATGGCGGCATATTAATGTAATGTATTATTATGCAGCAGTGAACATGAATCACCGACACCTAGATGCAGTAGCATGGATGAGTCTCATAATTTTAAATGAAAGAAGCCAGGTGTTAAAAATATTGCCTGATTCCACTTACATCACGTTAGAAGACCAGGCAAAACTAAACTATATTGTAAGTGGTCAAAGTATAAAGTTGAAAGCATGGAAGTGATTATCAAAAAGTGAGGAGGTTGGTGAACTTTTGGTCTAGTGGGAGGGAGGAATGATGGGGGAAGGGGCATGAGAGGCCTCCTGGGGGCCTGGCCGTGGTCCCCTGGGCGCTGGCTTTGTGATAAATCTGGGAACTGTATGTGTGTGTTCTGTGCATTTGTGTGTGGTTTCACAATATGGACATTTCAGAAAATGGGATAACAGGCCTGACCCCCAATCAGTGGTCATTATTTGTGCAGAAATGTAGAAGTCCCACATTAGCAAGAGTCGGTGAGAATGTGGGTCCATTTGAACTCTCACACCTTGTTGGGAGCATAACTTGTTCAAATATTTTGCAGGCAGTTGGCCTTGCCTCGTAACGTCATGTGTGCATGTACCATAGGACAGTGCAGTCTGCCTCTGGGTTTAGCCACTTAGGAAACACGTGCCTGTGTGCACTGGGAGGCGTTCACGCCGACGTGGTTGATGGGAGCCGGAGCCCGGACACAGCACCATGTCCGTCCGCAGAATGGGAGGCGGAACAGCACCCCGTGCAGCGCTCTGAGCGATGGACCGCAGCTCTTCACCGGTGTTACTGAGCTTTGGAAATACTGTGTAGAGCAAAAGAAGGGGGGTCCATACAAATAGAGTGTGTGATTCTATTTTTAAAGTTTAAAAACTGGTCAAAGTAACACCTGTCTTGCTTAGAGATACGCGGATATGCGGCAAGACCACAGCAAGGGAAGGATTAGCACAAAACCCGGGATAGTGGCCGCTTCTTGGGGAGGGGCTGGTGGGTGTGTGCTCAGCAAGGGGCACAAAGGCCCCTAAAGGCCTGGCAGTGTTCTGTGTCTAGGTTGGGTGGGACATACTCGGTGTTTATTTAAACTGAACACGTATATGACTCTCTCATGTATATTTCATAGCAGAAAATAAACTGAGAAGTTCATGCTATATTAAGTACAAAGCTCAGACTTAAAAACTGTATGACCCCGTTTTAAAATCAATTTGAATATCCCCAAATGTTAACTGTTGGTTATCTCAGAGGGGTAACTGAAAGGTGATTTTTGTTGTTATTTTATTCGGTATTTCAAAATGTTTCGTATGATTCCTGTAATCAGAAAAAAATCACAGTCAATGCGGTTTAAAATCCCTGAAAAGAAAAGGAAAACAGACTGCCTCTAGACCTCCCCACTGAGCATCTTGGAGTAGCCTGAGCAGGCCCCTGAGGTTCTGACTGATCTGTCGTGGCCCCGTCCCCGGGCGCCGGCTCGCAGCTCTCAGGCTGCAGCAGGATGTGCCCTGAGCCAGCTCCCTTGTGAGCCGCCCCCCCCCCCCACGGGAATAATGCCCGTGTGCTGGGAACTCGCTGTCTGTCTGTGGGGGAGACAGAGAGCAAACAAGGGCCCTAGAGGGCGGCTGAGCACACACTCATGGGGAGAAAGAGAGGAACCTGGTGACGTTGCGGTTGAGCAGTTTTCTGGGATGTCGGAGTTAAACCTAGGGTTCCAGGAGAGGCGAGTTGGGGCTCAGAACCCTTGCTAAGAGGGCAGGGCACTTCCTCCAGTGGGCACTCCTGGCCCCTGCCATCCTCCCCGCCTCCACCCTGTCCTCCCCTCCCTCCCCTGCTCCTCTCCCTCCCCTCATCCTGCAGCAGCCAGTTGGCCAGTTTCCCAGTGATGTCTGCTGCCTCGTGCAGTGACCTCACGTGCTTCTCAGTGTGCCCGCCTCCTACCTTAGAAATGTTGGTGCGAATTCGCTTCCCTGGCTCCGAAACTGCATCTAACTGCATATTCAGGCTTCCCAGCCACACCAGACAGTACTGGTCCCAGTAAATTGCTGGGATGTGCATTTACCTGTTGTGGGTGAGGGCTGGGCTGGAGGTATTACCTGAGGCACCGGGTACTGCAGCTGAAACAGGTTTTCCCTGACTGGGGAATCCTCACTAATCAGGTGGAAATCCAAGTTACTGCAGCTGATGAAAAGGTCTTCAGTGGAAGTACGGAGTGCTCCGCCCCCGGGAGAAGCAAGCCGCTCTGGAGAGGGAAACCAGACAGGGCCTTGAGGACGAGGAGGAGTTTGACAGGCCATAAAAGGAGACAGCAGTTGCTGACCAGGGGCACAGAATGTGCCAAGGCACGGAGCTGTGATAACGTCTCCACACTTAATGTGAATATCTGTAACTTTTTAGCTTCAGTTTCTTCAAATTTATTTTTTTAATTGCTTTTCAAATAGGATTTTAGAATAATTCCTAATGGTGTTTCTGACGGCGGGTTCTGGTTTCATGACTGTAACGGAAACTAAATGGGATGCCTGTCACGTGTTCTTAATCCCGCCGTTCAAGCACGCGACCCGGGCAGAAGGCCGTTTTAACTGTGCGCTCTGTCTGTGTTCCCCGTCCAGATTAAGTTTGACAGCGTCGAGGTGTGCGTCTGCTGTGAGATGCAGCACCAGTCGTCCGGCTGCAGCAACCTGGGGGAGACGCTGAAGCTGAACCCGCTGCAGGAGGACTGCAACGCCGTACGGCTGACCTTGAAGGTGACGCCGGGCTCCGGGGGCGCGCGCGCTCCGTCCCGCGCCCTGCGCCCCACCCCACACCCTGGGAAGGTGTATTAACTGCATTCCTTTCAGTTCTTAGTGCATCCAGGTAGGTCAAATACATGAGGGAGTCTCTTCTCAGAGAGCATTTTAAAGAATAGTAGATATTCACTGTAAAGGTGTCGCTTTCTGGGTTTTCCATTTTCACTATTTACTTCTCCGCCTCGGACGTAGGTGAAGTGGGGCTGAGCGGTTGAAAGCGGTCTTGACAAACGTGAGTGTGATGCATGCTACTGCTTTTCTGACATTATTTCTGTTAACACCGTCAGGGGACAGATGGGTATTTGTTTTGCCCTTTTAAAGCTATTTGGAGGAAGAAATTTCACCGTCTCCCATGGCAACCTATTCTTGTGTACAGTGTCTGATTTTTTTTAATGATATGGAAAATTGTTTATATTACTCCTTTCTTTTTCTTCCTGCAAATTTTTCTTACTCCTGAAAAGCAAAATTGGCTGCTTAAAAATGCATATGAACAGTGAACTTAATTCTTCTCTTTTCCCTGAGACCCAACTGCTACACTTTTTTGAAAGATGTGGCTGCTGTCCGGGGAGCCCTGGCTGGTGGGAGGGTTGTGTTCGCCGTATGCAGGGAGCCCTGTACGCGCACAGGGAATGCAGTGTGTCGGGAGCTGCGGACTCCATAGGGCTGCCCTGGGACCGGGGGAGCACAGAGGGCAGTGCTGCCATCTGGAACCGGGCACCCGTGGCTTCTCCTCCGTGGGCGTCATTTTGAGTGCTGGCCAGGGTGACCAGTCAGTCTGGTGGGCTCCCCATTGACTCCAGTGCACCGGGAAACTGGCAAACAGAGAGAGAGCGTGCGCCTGAAGGATGTGGGGGGAGTGCGCCCAGCGCCCAGTACCTGGCTTGTTTCACAGGGAGATGCTCCCAGTTCAGTGGTCCCAGCAGCCCACCAAAATGACAGGTCTAGGGGGCTGGAGGAAGCCAGAATGTAGCATCGCAGGCTCATCCTCTTGCGTGCGAGGCATTTCTTGCTATCTCTCACTGCATCTGACCGCAGTGTCTAGCTTTTTAAGTAAATTTTTAAATTGAAGTATAGTTGACTTACTATGTTGTGTTAGTTTCTTGTGTACAGCACAGTGATTCAGTCATATGTATGTATGTATATATTCCTTTTCAGATTCTTTTCCACTATGGCTTATTACAGGATATTGAATATAGTTCCCTGTGCTATACAGTAGGACCTTATTGTGTATCTATTTTATATATAGTAGTTTGTATCTACAAATTCCGAACTCCCAATTTATCCCTTCCCAACCCCCTTTCCCCTTTGGTAACCGTAAGTTTGTTTTCTGTAGCTGTGAGTCTGTTTCTGTTTCGTAAATAAGTTCATTGTGTCATTTTTTTAAGGTTCCACATATAAGTGATATCATGTGGTATTTGTTTTACTCTGACTTACTTCACTTAGTATGGTCATCTCTAGGTCCATCCTTGTTGCTATAAACGGCACTTTCATTCTTTTTTATGGCTGAGTAGTATTCCATTTTATAAATATACCACAGCTTCTTTATCCTGTCATCTGTTGATGGACACTTAGGTTGTTTCCATGTCTTGATTATTGTAAATAGTGCTGCTGTGAACATTGGGGTGCATGTATCTTTTCGAATTATACTTTTCTCCAGATATATGCCCAGGAGTGGGGGTGCTGGATCATATGGTAAGTCTATTTTTAGTTTTTTAAGGAACCTCCATACTGTTTTCCATAGTGGCTGCACCAAACTGCATTCCCACTTACAGTGTAGGAGGGTTCCCTTTTCTCCACACCCTCTCCAGGACTTTTTAATGATGGCCCAGAAAAGCTTTCTTGAACTATACATTTGAATTTTTTCTGCTGTCTGATTTTAGGATAACTGCATTCCTTGGACCCCTCTACCTGTCTTCTATCACTATCATTTTTTCTTTAATTTTTTGAAACCCTTCCTTTTCCACCTCGTTTTGCTCTATCTCCCTCCATGTTCTTCTCCCAGCCTTGTTTTCTGCACAGAGTCATCTTTGTGCTCTGTTTTTGATGCGATCTCGAGTCTGGGCAGCTCGCTGCTCAGCCTGTTTCTTTGTCATTTGTTCCTGAGCCTTTGTGTCTGTACTTTTAGATCTTAGGCTGAATAAGCCGCTTTAGTGTGGTCCCAGCTTCCCTGTCCCTCTCCCCAGATGTCTCTAGCTAGTTCAGTGGATTTCGTTCCTTTCTTAGAGCTTCCCTGAGGTACACGGATACTCCAAAGCACTCCAGCCAAGTTCTAACCCTTATCAAGCATCATGGGCTTTTTAAACAGGCTTTAGTGTAATTAAGGTTTTGCACTTCCTTCTCATAAACACAGGTACTTCTTCCTCTGAGATTCACGTACATCTAGTTTTCTTGTAATTAGTGGTGTAGTCATTCTTAATGGACTCATCACTCTTTAAAGGTGCTCGAGCCAGGCTGTGCTGATGACTCATGTGCAGTGAAGGGGTCTCTGCACTAGGGGCCTGGGGGGCTCCCCTGGGCTGAAACTCTCTGAGGGCACCAAGGCTGTGGGGACTGAGTCACCATGTGGGAGGGTGGCTCTGCTCCCCCGGGGAGCAGGCTTCCTGGGGAGCCCCTTCCTACAGCCTGCAGACGTTCCTGACACTCCGCAAAGGCAAGGCGCAGAGGGAGCGTGACTTTGATTGGTTTCATGTGTTCCTCTTTTGGGGTCAGCAATTAGATCGGGTTCGTTGGTCTCTTAATAATCTGATCTGAGGCTGATTTGAGGCTCTAGTTACCTGATTAGTAATACTCCAGTCCTGAGTTTCCATATTAAATTATGGATTATCCATGCTTTGTATCTCTTGAACTCAGTCTGTGCCCTGGAAATGCCATGCAATGGGTTTGGAAATCAAAGCAGAAACCAATCACCTTCCAGGCTGCTTCCCTGGTCCCTCAGGTGGTTTTCAGTTGTTTGAAGGCTCTGAAGCCCCTCTCCCTTGTCCTCTTTTCTGCTTTCCCACCATCTCTAATCCTGGATCCTGGGGCAGACCAGCCTCTCTCTTGAGGGTGTTGATAATCTCAGACATCATGCCTCCTGCCATGCTGAAGTTTGCAGCTCTTCCTTGACTGGATGAAAGTAGTAGAGAGGGCAGAGGGCATGGAGGGGACCCAGAACCCCATCGTGCATTGCAGGGATTCTCCAAATTGTAGCTCTGCCTGGACAGAGCATCCTGTCACCCACTGTGTGGCCCAGAGGGAGGTCAGATGGCTCCTCTGGGGTCCCTGAGCATGTCTGGTGGTGGGCAGGGCTCCTTGGGGGGTCTCAGTTCCTTAAGACCCAAATCCCCACTCCGTGATGACAGGACCTGGCTATGGGCATCCTATTATGATGTCCTAAAGCGGGTAGTCTAAAAAGTAGGACTTGTGAGCATCTTCACAGGTCTCCTCTCCCAATGAGAGGATGTCTTGGCTTTTGGAAGATGGATGCAATAAATGATAAAAAGATGTTTTGCTAGTTGAATGGCCATCTTGGCCAAGTCAAACCTGGCACAGGATTGTGACATATTTTCCAATCTGTATTAACAGAATTTTTTAAAGGTTCCAGAAACTGGAATCATTAACTGGTAGAATATGTTTATGCCTCATCTTGTGTGATATTATATCCATCCCAACTTTAATTCTTTGCTGTATCCCAGAATGTCATTATGGTTTTATTATGGTGGTATAATTCAAGTTCAAAACAGAGTTAAGGATCTTTTTGTTTGTTTTATGCACCTGGCTTAATTTATTGAGCCATGGTAAAACAGGTTACCCAAAGAAACCTTATCAGTGGACAGGGAGATAAAAGTTTCCCAAGAAATCAATCAGTTATTGAATTGACATGCTTTCTTATCTTATCTTGAAGATGCTTTATGTTTGTCTCTTAGAAAGTTTTTTAAAAAGGCAAGACAACTTCCTAAAAACCTAGGGACCTAAAAAAAAATTAACTCATTATTTAATCTTGATTCAGTTCTTAACCAAGCTGAAGAAATAAAAATGGTCCTGAGAGTAAGTAAATGCTCAACCTCTTGTGGCAAAACTCAGCACTAAGTGGCAACATGAAATACCACACACACACACACACACACACATACACACACACCCTGCTAGAAGTGACCTCCTTTTTTCAGAAGTAGTGAGACGCACAGAGCAAGACAGTTGGATCATTTCTCTGTACAGCTTTCTTTTCACTCCTGGCTTCTCAAGGGGGCCGCTGATGGGTCCCTCTGGCCAGATGGGATCCTGTCAGAAATGAGAAGAGTGTTAAATCCCTGCTGTCCCGCTGAGCAACACAGGCGACTTATAAGAGGATCTGGAGAGAGAACAGCTCTCCTGGCCATTGGGCACAACTGATCTCTGGCAAAGCTACCTGCCTCATATAGGAAAGAGGGGTGCCCACCATTTCCCGAGCCTTCTGCCCTTGGTGTCCAGTGCCACCGAAAGTCTGCTTCCCCACCCCCGATCTTGGTGACATCACTTTCCCCTGCGTAGTTGTGATACTGAGTTCTGTGGGACGTCTACAGTCACAAGTCCACATAGCGTCTTCGGAAGAGGAGAGGTTCCACTCACAGGGGCTGTGACTTAACGTGTACCTGCTGAGTTGAACAAGGTCCGGGAGGCTCAGACATTGAGATAAAAGTATTTCTAGTGATATATTTATAGCGGTCCCATGCTGAGCGGGTGGTCTGTGCAGGCAGCCCTGTTGGTCTGGTAAATGCTTGAGGTCTCTCAGTGCTGCCCATTCCCCAGCACCGGTGCCTGGGCTGCACCTGTAGATGAAGGACCAGGCTTGGAGCTACGGGTCCAGGAGGGCTGCTGCCTGCTCAGGATGACGGTGCTCCCTGCGGTGCTGGCACCTCACCTTTGTGCCTCTGCTGGGTGGTTCCTGCCTCCCCCCACCCCGCCCCTGGCTCCCTCTCTCTCCAGGGAAGATGCTTGGC